AGTAAAAAAAAAAACTGTCTCGAAAGTGTTTGTTTTTTAATTTCACGCAAAGCTACATGAGGGCTATCTGCGCTAGCCGTCCCTAATTTAGCAGTGTAAGACTAGAGGGAAGGCAGCTAGTCATCACCACCCACCGCCAAATCTTGGGCTACTCTTTTACCAACGAATAGTGGGATTGACCGTCACATTATAATGCCCCCATGGCTGAAAGGGCGAGCATGTTTGGTGTGACAGGGATTCGAACCCGCAGATTGCGAGTTGAGTGCCCTAACCACCTGTCCATGATCTCGAGATTCAGGAGCATAAGTGTAAATTCAAGGAGACTTCAGCTTAGTTTTCCTAAACTATATTTCAAACAACAAAAACGGCATTACCAAATTTAATTTAATTGTTTTTTATTACATCAGGATTACTTTATAATTATAAACCTGGCCATATGGAGAAAAATGATATTAATAACTGATTTAGCCTTTTTTCACCTTTTTGGGGGGATCATTTAGGGATTTTTCACAAACGTATCTGGTCACACTGATTAGAAATAATTACTGAGATACAAGTGATTTAATTTGTTTTGAAATAAAATCAAACTAATGTGACATTTTTCCAACTGCTCTGAAACATGAAATCTGATAAGAAGCCAGTAGACATATGGCAAATGTTACAGAATATGTTATAATCTGGATCATATGAAGTATAAATTAGTTCTCTATTAGTAGTATACATATGCAAATAGATACTACTATAACTTACCTAACATGAATCATGAAATAATTCCCTGTTAGTAGTGTACAAATGGAAATAGATATTACTATAACTCTTACTTACCAGACATATAAAGAACATATCTGGACCATACAAATCATGAAATAGATTCCTGTTAGTAGTGTATAAACAGATATAGATAGTAATATTACTTACCTAACATATAAAGAACATACCTGGACCACACAAATCATGAAATAGATTCCTGTTCATAGTGTATAAACATAGATATATTACTATAACTCTTACTTACCAGCCATATAAAGAACATACCTGGATTGTATGAATCATGAAATAATTCCCTGTTAGTAGTGTATAAACAGATATAGATAATAATATTACTTACCAGCCATATAAAGAACATACCTGGATTGTATGAATCATGAAACAATTCCCTGTTAGTAGTGTACAAATGGAAATAGATATTACTATAACTCTTACTTACCAGCCATATAAAGAACATACCTGGACCACACAAATCATGAAATAGATTCCTGTTAGTAGTGTATAAACAGAGATAGATAGTAATATTACTTACCAGACATATAAAGAACATATCTGGACCACTCAAATCATGAAATAGATTCCTGTTAGTAGCGTATAAACAGAGATAGATAGTAATATTACTTACCTAACATATAAAGAACATACCTGGACCACACAAATCATGAAATAGATTCCTGTTAGTAGCGTATAAACAGAGATAGATAGTAATATTACTTACATAACATATAAAGAACATACCTGGACCACACAAATCATGAAATAGATTCCTGTTAGTAGTGTATAAACAGAGATAGATAGTAATATTACTTACCTAACATATAAAGGATGTTTCTCTGATGTTTGAAAGCTATCCGCCGTTGTATATAGCATTTTTTTTCCAGGATCATGACCTTTGGCTTCAAATCTATTGTACTCTGTAATAACAATGAATCAGGAATGTCATCAAAAGAAACATCTTTGAAATGATACCCGAAGTATATTTTTTTAACAAAGGTAGTACACACATAGTTTATACACAGAAGTTATATAAAAACTGGAACTATTTCTGTTCCAGAAAGAAAGTTAATATCTGCAGAAGACTACTAGATCTTAAAATACATTGAAAATAAAAAGAAGACATTAAAAAAGAAGACATATGCACTTCAAAACGTTCATTGAAGACAGAAGTATATAAAACTAAATGTATTTTCAAATATACAAAAGCTGCATGGACTATTATGAGATTTTAAACAATGCACATCTACTGTAACTTACACTTTATTACTGACGAGCAATATATAAGACAACGTAAGAATTAAAAGTTGTACAGATGAAAAAAAATGTTTTATCTATTCATCCATGCATGCATACACAGATAAATAGATAGGTAGACAGACACACACGCAGATAGGCTACTCTACATATGAACTACTGGTATATTGATTTATGAACATCGTTTTTTTGGCTACTCTACATATAAGCTTCTGATATGTCGATCTAAGAGCATTGTATTTCCTGTGAAAAACAGAAATGTTTCAGGAAAATATCTTTAGATTAAATAAAATCTTGTTTTTAAAAAATACAGTTTGTAATAATGTGACTGAAACTAATTGTCCTAAAAAAGGGTACAGTCATAGTAGTATTAGGTGATATGGTAGATTGATTTATATGTATTATATAAATCAATCAACCATACCTTGTTTTCACCTAGTACTACTGCTCAGATCTGTTCTAGTTATGAGTACAGAATCCTGTATTTTCTAGTTATGAGTACAGAATCCTTAGATCTGAGCAGTAGTACTAGGTGAAAACAAGGTATGGTTGACTGATTTATGTAATACAGGATTCTGTACTCATAAATAGAACAGATCTGAGTAGTGGTATTAGTACTGTAATTAGTTATACTAATAACGGAATAGATATATATATAAAAAAACTCCTTCCAAATTTTTATTGTAATTTCCAAAAGCTAGAAATTACAAATTACTCAGTTAAGTAAACTTGAGCAGTAAAACAACTGTTCAAAAATACTACCATAAGTAAAGTAAAATTGATCACAAATTTACAATTTACTTTCAAACAATACTAACAAGCTTTTTCAGATCTCAGTATATTTAAATGTATAACCATCCGAATATTCTCAAAACCAAAACTTCTCATCTCATCTCTGGTGCAATTGGTCTGTAAAAATAAGACAGTCATACCTTCAGGTCTGTATTTTAAAACCATAGCTACAGTTTGTCCTGCTCCTTTCAGAACTCCAGCTGCCTCTTCATGGGTGGCGTATTGAAGGTCGATTCCATTTACCTAAAGAAGACAAACAATGAAAATCAGAACTCCTGTGATACTTACTTCCGATGCAAAATGCAATGGTTTTACTTACTTGCAACAGGGGACACTACTATTTATGTTGAAAATGAGGTAGTTAAAAATCACAGCATTATACAAACATGAGTACACTGGAATGGGCGGTAACTGCCCGTTTTGGATAAAAACCATAAATATAGAGGACGACAATTGAAAAGTCTTCCGTCTATCTTCAGGACCTGAAGAAAAAAGACGGAAGACTTTTTCGAAACGTCGTCCTCTACACTTGTATTTTTTCTACAACAGACAGTTCCCGCCCACTTCAGTGTTTTCACCATGAATACTCTATTTAAACAATCTATCAAAGAATATACAAAAAAATTAAAGTGGCATCTTACTCATGTTACAAATAATGTAAAAAAAAAAAGAAAAGAAAAAAAGAGTGCGATACAAATAACGAAAGGTTTGTTTGTTTCGCGCAAAGCTACATGAGCAGTTAGCAGTCCCTAATCTAGCAATGTACGACTAGAGGGAAGGCAGGTAGTCATCTCTTGAGCTGCTCTTTTACCAACGAATAGTAGAATTGACTGTTACATTATAACACCACCACAGCTGAAAAGACGATCATGTTTGGTGTGATGGGGATTCGAACCCACGACCCTCAGATTGAGAGTCGAGTGCCATAACCACCTAACCATGCCGGGCCACGAAAGGGTAGTCTTGTATATATAAAACCGGCCAAGAAACAACGTAAGGTAATGTGTAATTGAACTGGGGAGAGAGAATATTGTTGAGCACGTGAGACGTTCGTTGTGAATTATATCGTTTGTTATAGCGCGACTGTTGAAATTAAGTGTATCGCAAAGTTGTATTCAGAAAGAATAAACCAGTTTTATTTAAGAAAGGACTTGTATCGGTAAAGTTTCTTCGGAAAGAATTTTTACGGAAAATTAACTAACGAACGGAGACGTAACAATATGTTACTTTGCTTATAAGATACTTAAAAAATATGAGTAAGTCACTAGTAAGTTAGGATTAGGTTTAAGGAAAAGATGTAATTTGCAGCTAAGGCAAAGTTGGATATTTTAGTTTGATTGAAAACAAACGGAACAGAATGATTTTAAATTAAAGTGGCTATAAAAAGGAATTTTATTTATATCAACTGTACTGGTAGGCTGACTGTGATTATTTTGAAAGTTTACAATAAATCCACACTAATGGAACAATACTAAATTTAAATAAAAAGTGGTTGACATTTCAGATGTCATCTTCAGCCCAATGTTTGTCAAAATGTCAAATCTAGTTTCCATTTAAATTTGGTATTGTTCTGTTGGTGTGGATTTAAATTTTACTATAAATTACTTTATATGGTATTGGTATTTACCTTTTATTATTTTGGAAATTGTCCCCCCCTCCCCCATTCCCAAATCATCATGATATTAGAGTATCCAGCGGTGGCGTAGCCAGGTTTTTTCCGCTTGGGGGGGGGGGGGGGGGAGGCAAGGGG